CTTCCTCTCCGACTCTTCCCCTATTCTTTCGTCGACGAAAGCTGTGCTGACTCGAGTAAAGCGTAGAGCGGTTAAGCGGTGGAAGCTCTTAAGCGATACTACCTGGTACAAGTGTGGGAGTTATTGACAGTCGTCCTGGGCTTCACCTGATGAGAAGCGCATCCTTTCATGTGCGCGTGTCGCCGCCGCTGCTGCGGCTGCTGCTGCTGCTACTGCTGCTGTTGCTGTGTGCTATATACCGAGCACGTATTGAGGTAACGGCGTGTCAAATACAGACACTAATGAATTTGTCTGCGAGTGTGCGTGCGTGCCTGCGGCGTGCGCACGTGTGTGTGAGTGCCTGTGAATGTACGGGTGCGTGCGCGCGTGCGTGTACCTGCGTGCGTACGTGTATGCATGCATGTATATATGCATGTGTATGCGTTTGCTCGTGTGTGTGCACTTGCGTGCGCATGTGTGCGCGAGCGTATGTGTGAGCACGTGTTCGCGCGTGCGTGCGTGCGTGGTGCGTGCGTGCACATGTGTGGGTGCGTGCGAGTCTCTGGTATCCGATACTGAATTTTGCTTCGCGCGCTTCCTCATGCTAGCTCGTGGGATCTCATTAGCAACACTGACAGCATCCGAGGAAAAACACTTGCCCATAACCATCGCCGACTCTCTCCGGTTGCAGCTGAGGCTATAGCTAGCATTAGCGTTTTGTCCGGCTGTGTATGAGCGGCATTCCCCGCTGAGCTGGTTCCCGTCTATACATCTACTTCCGTTGCCCTGCATTCCTAGTAGAACCCTCCTTCTCTGCACTGTGTGTCTCTAATAACTCGCTCTAGTTCTACTAATCACTCTAGCTGTCCCTCTCTCACTCGCGCGCGCTCTCTCTCTCTCTCTCTCTCTCTCTCTCTCTCTCTCTCTCCCTCTCTCTTGATCTCTGTCTGTCTCTCTCTCTCTACCTTTGTCTCTCTCATCTTGATGCACCTCTTCCTCCTTATTGTATCGCTAATAGCCACGCTACGTTGATATATTATCGGCCTCACATGCCCGCCAAGATTTACTCATCTCCAGTTGTTGATAATGAATTTGTTTTAAAAGAAAACCCCAA